CCCAATCTATAATGTTGAAAGGTAATTTGGTCCAAAAAATTGCCTCAAAAAATCATTACACGGTGTTACGTTAAAATACCTCCTCAAATTGAGGGGGGTTTCTTGCTAAAAGTATTCATAAAAGAAATTTTTTGCAAATGAATAATAATTGAGGGGAATTATTTGCAATTCGCCCTATTTTTTAAAGTACAACATATTCCTTTAAAATACAATATATTAATTCAATTAGATTTGTAAACTTCATGAAGGTAACGTTTTTATGCACCTCTGTTTCAGTTAACCTCTATTGCAAATAAACTATGCTTTAAGTTTAACCACTTCACGTCTCATTACAGATTATTTGAAATTGAGGTTGGAATTTATTTTCCATCTCTATTTATTTCAATTACATTTTTCTCATTTTTTCAAAAATAAATAAATTTTCATCAATAAATATACCAAGACTAATATTGTACAGAAAATTATATTACAATTAACTTTTTTTTTTTTTTTTTTTTTTTATAAATTTTAAATACATATATAATTCAAGTTTGTCACTTTGTCACCCTAGCTAATTCAAAATTTTTAGCTCCACCCATAAATTGGGGCTTATGAATATTGAAGTGGTTAAAGTAAATTGTTTAAAATTGAGGTTGGAATTTATTTTCTGTATACAATACGTGAAATAGTTTACAAAATAATCCTATACAGTTCACAAATAGATGAAAGGTTAACATACCTGCAAAAAAATGTTACCTTAATACAGTTCACAAATCTAATTGAATTAATATATTGTTTGTAAAAGAATATATTATTTTTAAAAGAAGACAACTGTTGCCTTAATTAGTTTTAAGTTGGAGAGGATCCAAATGGGTAAACTTTTTAGTTTTGGAAATAGTCCCAGAGATCCCACCACTCACCGGAGTTGATGAGAGTGAAAACATTAATATGTTATTAAAGTACCAACAAGACATGCACGAAATAATCCGCAATAATTTTTTACTTACCAAAGTGCACAATAATTTTGATCCCTCTGACAATCTTATATATATATATATATATATATTCCTTACTTAAAAAAAAGTTCTAAATTTATTGTAGGATTAAAAAAAAAAAAAAAAAAAAAAAACCTAATTTAGTCCCTTTAAAAAGAGTAGATGTATCCAACCTTTTTTATACATACATAGAAATTGTATTTTATTGAGTAACCATTAGATTACAATTGAGTAATCTCAGCATTTATTTATTTTAAAATCCTAAAGAAAATATTTGAAATTTTTGCTCAAAGTTTCCACTACACTAACAAATTAACATACACCTCTAGGGTGTACTCTAACTTTGTGGAGTCAATCTGAACTCTACAATCTACAAGACACAATGTAAATCCAAGCCTAAATTGAGCTTCTTTTTTATTATACTTTTAGATTGAGAAAATAAATAGTTTTCAGTTTTTTCTATTAAAGCAATTAACTTTAGAATCTAAATTTTACAATTTAATTCAAATGAAGACCCCTTGAAAATAAATTAAGGAAAATGATATTAGGGCGATCATTTTGACAGTTTTGTTAGACCGAAACAGACGTGGCCAGCCACGTCATGACAATCTCCCACGTTGTCCTTAGACTCTTCGGACCAACAAGTTCTCGCCGGAGCTGTTGTTCATGTTGACACTCACAGTTACTAGAGCATGGCCAGAATCTCAGGTGCCAGAACTGAGTCAGTGATGAATGTCAAAGTGAAACTCACAGCCACCGGAGAGAAGCTGAGACTGTGTTGTTCTCTTCTTAGCGATTTTTTTTTTTCTCTTTCGAATCGCGAAATTAATTCATTGATATTTTGTTCTTGGTCGGTATTGCTGTCATCAGTCTCTGCCGCCTGTCCTCTCTCTCCCCTCAAATTTCTCTCTCCAAACCGTGAGCCACTACCCTCTGTCTCTGCCTCTGACTCCGTCGTCTACCATAAGCCTCGCCTACTCGGCCGTTTCATTCCCTCCATCAACGACCAGATCAGATTTCCAACTACACCAATCAACCACTTGCAAACCCAAATCCCCACCAATCATACCCACAAACATACCCTTCAAACAAATAAAACCATACAAACCACCAAGACCCGACACTGTTCTCTCGTCACTGTCGCCAGAATCGGATCACCATCACCACCACGTCGTCGTCAGATTTCTGGTCCTTGCTCGCAGTTCAATAACGACTGTTCAGTCATCATATTTGCTTGCCGATTCAGCCTGTACTGCCGCCGGAAACCCCAGTCGAAATCCACGTTGTTGCCCGTCGTCCTTATCATCGCTGCTGCTTCTAGCATCATCGCCGGCTAAGTTGCGATTGATGCTTGTAACAGTCGCGATCTAAGGTCCTTTGATACCGCCATCGCGTGTGTGATCTGTAGTCGCCGTCGAGATTTGGTGTCGGTGACTGCCGGTCTTCATATAAGTTTGGTCGAGAAGATGAATAGACGATTTGCGACGATGTTGATGTCAAATGGGATTAATTTTTTTGCCAATTAGACCGCCACGTGTATTCTGCCTAGCATCAGACTATTCTACCTTAATATCACAGCCCATAAATTAAAAAAATAAATAAAATTCAATTTATCACCATCTACATATATAGTTGCAACTTTTATCATATATTATTTTATTATTATTATTATTATTATTATTATTATTTAAAAAAAGAGAGAGATGTGTTTTTGTAGATGCCGTACAGTTGTATAATTAAAAAGTTGATGACAATGACTAAAAAAGGTATTAGGCAATTTGGTAGTGTCCCACGTGTAAGTCGTGAAACTTATAACAATAACTGTACTGATTGCATGGAACGTGGGTGATCCCATTAATGCAGTCACAATCTTTCCTTTCCACAGATGAAGCAAGGGCCTCAGTTGTCTTTTTCTACCACTGTTATCCAATTATACTTCTCTGGTGAGTTTCGCTCCCGTGAGTCTCTGTCACGGGCCTCACTGTATTTATAAAGAGACGTCACACTTGCAAATTTTTATTTTTATTTTTTAAAATCTAAATAAATGAATAAACTTGGACAGCTTTCAACAAAAAAATATGTGAAAATGATAAACAAGCCAATTCAATTTGTGTAATACAGTATATTCCAAAATTATACTCAGTTAGTCATATAATTTATATAAGACCTATATCACTTTATAAAAAATTAATTTACTCAACGATTTTAATAATTTGATTGTACAATATTAATCAGCTATTTAGTCTTGCAATATCTTGTAATTAATACAAAAAAATATACTCCATCTTTCTAATTTTTTTCATTATAATAATAATAATAATAATAATAATAGGTATTTACATTTTTTATTCTATTCTCTTTAATTCTAACTCTTTCGATATATATATATATATTTCCTAATTCTATTCTCTTTCTAACTTTTGTCATTATAATAATAACTTAGCAACACGCAAATTTATACTGTACTATTATTAGAGTTTTAGTACATTATTTATTTAGTCATTCTTTGGGGTTTGATTAAGAATTTTATTCCATGCTGCAACTTTATATAAGAATTTCAATTAAGATAATTTGTTAGCCTGTAACATGTGCATTTCACCTGCAATTTTATTGATTAGAAGCTTCTTTTCACGAATCAAGAGACAAGTATAATAAACTATTTCGTCGGTAATAAATATGTTAATGTGGTCAATTATACCATGAAACATTATAAATAAAAATGTAGTTTCTCCTCACGAATCAAGGAACAAGTATAATAGACAGTTTCATCGACACTAAATATGCTAATGTGTAATGTTAATTATACCATTACACATTACAAATAAGAAAGAAATTTATCTTCACGGATCAAGAGACAAGTGGAATAGACTGTTTACCCAACATTAATACTGTGGTTAATCATATCAAGCACATTACAAATAAGAAATAAATTTATCCTCACAGACTAATAAACAAGTATAATAAACTGTTTGGCGGACAATAAATATATAATGTGATTAATCATATCACGATACATTACAAATAAGAAATAAAATTCTCTTCACTATTCAAGAAATAAGTATAATAAATAGTTTGGTTTAGGGGCGGAGCCAGTGTATGTCTAGAGGGGGCACATGCCCTTTTTGGCCTGTCCTCGCTTACTGTAATATATATACTAAATTTATATATTTTTACATGTATATATGAAAAAATTCATATAATGCCATCCCTAAAATTTGTATTTTATAAAATTTTGTATTTCTTCTATTTTTTACTCTTTAAAATTCGTTTAATTTCCTTTAAAAAAAGTCAATTTTTCCTTTTTGAATCAAACTCCAATTTTTTTCCCTTTCAAAATTCTCTCATTTCTCTTTCACATATTATTTTGAGTAATTTTTTTTTTCTTTATCTCTTAATTTATATAATCTATATTTATTGTCGTCATTATTGATTTTTTATTTTATTTTATTTTTTTTACACCGTGCCTCCTAAATTTAATTTTTAGCTCTGCCCCCGGTTTGGTCGACATTAAATATACTAATGTGGCTGATCCTGATAAGAAAGAGATTTCTCCCAATGGATCAAGCTACAAATATAATAGACTGAATGGTGGACACTATATATATCATGTCACAACATATTACAGATATGAAACAAAAATTTCATCATAGTTCAAGAGACAAGTATAACAAATTGTTTGGACAACACTAAATATAATGTAATTTTTCACATCGTGACACATTACAGATAAGAAAGAATCTTAAATATAATAACGATTCACGATACACAACTGGGAGAAATTTCTCTTCCCGGATCAAGTGACAAGTATAATAGAATGTTTGGCTAGATTTTTTACCCCCTCTAAATTGATGAATTAAACAAATACTTTACATAGTTGGTACTATTTTTTTTTTTTTTTTTTTTTTTTTTTTTTTTTTTTTTGGACAAAATAAAAAAATCTCAGGGTAAGTAGGAGTAATATTTTTGATTTGTTGAAGTTATAGCTAGGACATGAATGTGCAATAGTAGTGCATTCTGTGTAAATTACAAAATTTGAAAGTATCATTGGTGCCACCCTCACCTGCATGGCTAAAAAGCTGTGCAAATGTGAACTTCCACAAGGATTCAGTTGTTGTTTGTGAGTTGTAAATACACACATACACACTCTCCCTCTCTCTCTCCTCTTTCTGTTTCTCTCTCTCTCTAGCTATATATGGATGGATAATCTTCATCTGTATCTTGATTTTTCTCTATTCGTTCTTCTGACCATAGCCACCCAAAATATCCGTTAGCCAACTTGCTCTCTCTCGTCTCTATATGGACACTCCAATCCTTTAAAGAACACAAACACATACCAAACTAGGGTGTGTGTTTCAATCCATGATGAAGGTCAAGTCATCGGAAGATATCGGCATTTTGCAAAAGGATTTGGTAAACACCCACTTCGTTTTTCTCTTTCCACATTCAAATTTCGAACCATATTTCTCATTATTATTATAATAATTTTTAATGGGTTGGGTTCGAGAGTGTGATTTTCATTCGATTCAGTCTTGATTTTAGGTTTTTGCAGTTGTTTACAGATCCTTCTCATCTCTTTATTTATATATAAACAATGTTCATGAATATGTTGTGCTTTCGGTATGTTCATGGCTATTTATTTATTTTTATTTTTTTATTCTGACATTTTACAATTTTTTATTCTCCCTCCGTCTCTCTCTCTCTCTCTCTCTCCACACGCACACACACACACACACATAATATGCTTTTGACTGAGGATGAAGAATTATTTAGGGTTGGTTTCAGATTTTCTAGTACACGCACTTGGATAAGAGTGTTTTTGCCTAAATTATTTCTTGATACCTATTCAATGTTTTCCTTTTTTAAATAAATAATTTGTTTATTCCTTCAATCTGCAATTAGGTTCCTGTTTTTACCTACAAAAAAAAAAAAAAAAGGGTTCCTGTTTGTTTTTACTTCTTTACAGAGATGTTGGACCTTACTGTGCACATTGCAGTTAAAATGTCCAATTTTTTAGGTTATAAATTGTGAATAGTTTGAATTGACATTTAAACTTGGGTGATTGGGTAAGAAATGAGTTTGCCATTTGAATGAGAACAAATTCTTCGAATTTGTTTCAAAGAATTTTCTGTAGAAATGACAATTTATGATTTGATAAAGTACATGTATTAATATGACTTGCTGGTATTTCCAAATTGCAGGCAGAGTTACGCATCTCATGTATGAATGGGAATAAGTATAATTATAATCCTGGCACACCCACAACTAGATTGGAAAGGCTCTTGAGGGAGAGGGAGCTAAGGAAATTGAGTAGGTCAGCTCAACCAAATGAAGAAGTAAGAGATGGCAACAAGGAGGTGGACATCTTTAGTGACCTGGGTCTAACTGAGGGTGATAATTTGCCGCGTGAGGAAGAGTTTCTGGAAGGCGTTGCAGCGGCAAGAGCACCCAGTGATAGAAGTGAGAGGCAAGAAGGGCAAGGGCGACGTACCAAACAACGTCTATTGGTGGTGGCCAATAGGCTGCCTGTCTCTGCAGTTAGGAGGGGTGAGGACTCATGGGCTTTGGAAATAAGTGTAGGGGGCCTCGTCACTGCACTTTTGGGTAAGTGTTAACTATGGTCCAATTGATGCTCTTCATTCACCCTTTTTGTTTTTTTTGTTTTTGTTTTTGTTTTTGTTTTTTTGCATTTTCTATCTTATTATATGTTTGTTTATTTGTGTCTCAAAGGATGCAATCATGATAGTATTGTTTACATGTTTGTTGTTCGTGTTGCACTGCTTGTTTTTGATGTGTGTATATATATATATATTTTATCTCAAAAGGTAACCTAACGGATGCTGGATTTTTTTCTTGAAGGTGTGAATGAGTTTGAAGCCAAATGGATTGGATGGGCTGGAGTAAATGTACCTGATGAAGTTGGACAGAAAACACTCACTAAAGCTCTAGCTGAAAAGGTTCATAGATTTCAGTTCCATCATGAAGTTCTTACTGATGTTAAACTTCTAAACATGTTCATGATTATGTTGCCTTGAATTACAATTTTGATCCTTGATATTCCATCCTAAGATTGTCTTTCTGTCTGCAGAAGTGTATCCCTGTTTTTCTTGATGAAGAGATTGTACATCAATATTACAATGGCTATTGTAACAACATCTTGTGGCCTCTTTTCCATTATCTTGGGCTTCCACAAGAAGACCGGCTTGCAACAACTCGTAGTTTTCAGTCTCAATTTGATGCTTATAAGAAGGCTAACCAAATGTTTGCTGATGTGGTATATGAGCATTATGAGGACGGTGATGTTGTTTGGTGCCATGATTACCATCTAATGTTTCTTCCAAAATACCTAAAAGACTATAACAACAAAATGAAAGTTGGTTGGTTTCTGCACACACCTTTCCCTTCCTCTGAAATTCACAGGACACTGCCATCTCGATCAGAGCTGCTGAGATCTGTTCTTGCTGCTGATTTAGTTGGGTAAGTCTTCATTTTACTTTACTATAATTCATTTTATATTCCAGTTTTTTCTTTTAACTTTTTTAGTTCCTCAATATGTTCCATATCATTCAGATGGTTATAATTGGCAAGTAGCTAAGGTATAACAAAATTGGTTCCCCCCAACACCCCACCCCCTAAATTTGTGAACTCCCTTATGTCTATTCAGATAAATTTTCTTTTCCTCTATAATTATACATGAAGGATGGTGAATATGGGACCATCAACATGGGGATATTTGGAGAGAAATATTACATCTAGAGTCATCATGCACCATTTTTTTTTTTTTTTGATAAATAAAACATTTTATAAAAAACGCTCAGAAGGGGAGCGGAACCCAAGAAAATACAAAAGACCACAAAGGCCTTAAGCCTTCAAAGAGGCCAAAAAGTCAACAATTTCCTCTAACAATCTATGATCTCTCCCTGAAACCCAACAAAAAAGAGTGGAAATAATCGAGAATTTAAGCACCGAAATCGACAACGCCTGTCCTTCAAAGAATCTCCTATTCCTTTCAAGCCAAATACACCACCACATACAAAGCGACGTAGCCCTCCACGCATCTTGAGTGAGAGCCCCCACAGGGCAACCTCTCCACGCCTCAATCAACCCGCTAGCAGATCCTGGCATAACCCAAGAAAAACCAAATAAGCCAAGCATCAAATCCCAACACTCTCTAGCCAAAGAGCAATGAATGAGAAGGTGATCCACCGATTCCTCATCACTAAGACACATAAAACAACGATTGACCACCACCTGGCTTCTCCTTCTCAAATTATCTTGGGTTAAAATCCTACCCAGAACCGAAGTCCACACAAAGAAAGCCACCTTGAGAGGAGCCTTGGAACGCCAAACAGACTTCCAAGGAAAACGAACTCCAGGAACTAATGAGAGGCACCTGAAGAAAGACCTCACCTCGAAATGCCCATGAGAGTTTGCAACCCAAGACCAACAATCCGAATCCTTCTCCACAATCCCCTGGCGATACAACAACTCCAACTCCATGCACCATAACTTTAAGTTGTTCTGCTTGAACATTTTGTAGGAGCTAAAATTCTTGTTGATCTGAAATCTAATTGAAATAACAAGATATCATCTACCATAATTGTTTTCATTTAGGATTACTTTATTAAACATGAATAAAATCAATTTAACTCCTGTATCGTACTTGCTTGTGGGTGATTACAACTTTAGTAGTAATGCAGTTTGGTCATATTTGTTTATTATGTTTTTTTTGGGCATGCTTTTTAAATTCTTAAAATACAAGGGTTTTACTTAATTCCAATTCTTTACTTCCAGGTTCCACACTTATGATTATGCGAGGCACTTTGTTAGTGCTTGCACTCGTATTCTTGGGCTTGAGGGTACACCTGAAGGAGTAGAGGATCAAGGAAAGCTAACTCGTGTGGCTGCGGTATATACATTATTTCATCATTTTTTCCCTTTTCTATTCTATACACCCGCAGAACATGTGATTAATTGACTTCCACAACTACACCACATGCTTATATCAGCATTAAATTTTTTGATGGAACCCCTGAATTCTTCAAGCTTTGTCATGATACTAAAATTGTTTCTGGTGAGCTTTAAACTACAGTTTCCTATTGGGATAGATTCTGATCGGTTCATTCGAGCTCTTGAACTTCCTCAAGTCCAGGATCACATCAAAGAACTGAAAAAACGATTTGCTGGCAGAAAGGTAGGTGCTATTCCTTTTATGCGAAAGCATCACACTTTGTAGGATCAAGACTTGTCTGAAGTGTTAGAATTGTGGTACTATCTATGATATGATATTATTTTTATAAAAATTAACTGCTGTGTAGCTTGAGTTGGAATAAGATTTCTGGGCAAGACCTGGTGGTTTGTGTTCAACTCTTGGAGTGTCAAGTCTCCACCCTGGACTTACCTGATACCCTAGGTTTGGGGATGATTGCGGGTATCTGAAGGTAATAGTCTTGCCCCTAAATGGGGTGGGGATACCCTCCCGTTTCCCAACAAAAGGAAAAAAAATGAATTGTGTATATATTACTTAATATAGAATTATTTCTGCAATTCATATTTCATTTTCTTGTGCATCCTTCTAACCACATACAGGTTACAAACGATCCGAAACTAATCCTGTAGTGATAGATGTATATTGTATTGCTAATTATTATTGCTGTCGTAAGATGGATCTTCTGTATTTTTACTGAAGTAAATAATGGTTTCATGTATTTTGACTTTCTGTTTTATATTTTGTGATATTACGTTTATGTGTATTCTTCTGCTCAATACATGTGAACTTCATCTTGATGCAATATAAGCACTGTATGAAAGAATATACAGGAGTATTTTGATCTAAAAACAGCAATTATGCCCAAGTAGGACCCTAAAGGGAAAAGTTCATGAAATAGAAAAATTATTCCCACATTCTGAAGGTGCCATCCAGCGTACTTTTGTTTTTCTGTTATTCACAGCATATAGGATTACAGAAACTGCAGTCTTTTCTGTAATTGTCAGCAATTATAATTTTGGGACATCAAATTACTAATAACAGAAATGCTGCTTATTTCCAGAACCATGTACTCGAAGTTTAAAAGACTTAGTTACATACAGTGAAAATAACAGATGATCTGTAATTCAGCATAATCATGGCCCTATCTTATCTGTAGATGTTCTGTTTCTTAATTATGTTTTTTAAGTTCCATAGGTCGGTTAAGAGCTTAGTTTTCCATTTTCATTGTTGGGGCAATTGTGCAGTTGTATGCACACAGCACATACTATCCGCTAAATTTTCAACCTTGAATGTAAATATATCCCTTAGAAGGAACATATTGTTTATTGTCAGAAAGCTTACTGTTGTTGTGTTGAGTATGGGCAGGTAATGTTAGGCGTTGATCGTCTTGATATGATTAAAGGAATTCCACAAAAGATTTTGGCATTCGAAAAGTTCCTCGAAGAAAATCCAGATTGGCGTGATAAAGTTGTTTTGCTGCAAATTGCTGTGCCAACAAGGACTGATGTTCCTGAGTGTACGATATTCTTCTTCTTGGTTCAATTTTCTAATTTTCACATTCTTTATTGATATAAGTGTATGAAATGGAATGAAGAATGTTTAACTGAATTCAAGAACCTAGACTTGAAGAAAACAACTGAGCACTGTAACCAGTTCTACCTCTGAATGGCATGCTAGAACTTGTTGACTGCTGCAAAGGTTTTCTTTGTCGATAGATAAAATATTAGTTTAGGTTTCGAATTATGATGGAGCTGTTTGATATCATCAGTTTATTACTCCATACACATTTAATGTTATAAACAGAAGTATTCCTGTTCCAGGAATGGCTAATGTATCAGTGTTTTCTGAAAACTAGGAACAAGACATACATTAAATAGGCTGACCATGCTAAGGTTTGTTGAATTGAGGAACCAGACATGCCATTCTTGAACATTTTTCTCTTCTTTTTGCTAAATCAAGAAAAGGCAAATTAATTAAGAAAATATAACCCACTATAACTATTTTCTTTTAGGACAGCTTTCCTTTAATTGAGCAAGTCAAAGAATGTCTTATCGTTGTTTTTCCTTGTTTTTTTCATAATTCTTTATCTTATTTTTCGTTTTCACTTTGAGGCTTCCAAAGGTACCCATTAAAGATGGAGGCCTGCATATTTACAAGGAAACACTCTAATCTGGAGTTCTTTGTGATGGATTCTCATTTTTCTGAACAAATTATGGTTTCAATAGGCTTCACATGGAGTTTGACGCAGGAGTAGGGTTGTATCCAGATTCGGAACTGACAAACGCAGTTTAGGAAATCTTTTCATAAACAGATTGAACTTGATATATGTTGATTCTATCTGATTCAATTTATAAATGTAATATGTATTATATATATATTTTGGTGAGGATAACTGAGTGATATCTTAAGATACTATATCATCATCATCATCATCCTTCCCTTTATCCCGTAGAAACTGGGTCGGCCACATGGATTCTCTTCTTCCACTCTTTTCTATTACAGGTCATATCTTCTACTGTATATGATATATTATTTGTTTATACATTAAAACCACAATCTGTTATATTTGTCACAAATTTAAATCTACTTTGGTTTTTTGAATGCTTATTGACTTTTAAACTGCGGTTACTATTATAAGATTAGTCAGATTCTGATTTCAATTTGGGCATCGATTATATATATAGATATAGATTGACAGATAGAGACTTATCAAAAAAAGAAAGAAAAGATAGATAGATAGAGAGAATTGAATTTTCCAATCTTGCCAGATATGCATAAAATCCGTCCTGTTTACAGCCGTAATCAATGGTAGTTTTCCTTCTCTGAGTACGAAAGATAAAAGATGTCTTCATTTGCTCTTTCTTCTAGCGTATTCTTTTATTATTATTTTTATATATATATTTTTAATTTCTCTTGAAGACATTGAGGCTTTTTTTTTGTAAAAATAAAAAAATAAAATAAAATGAGGGAATACTCCAAAAGGTATTTGATGTCCTTTCTGTAGTTTCTGACCTATTTGGAAACAATTATGGTGTTGCCAAGCTGTATTTGTTTAGGAGTATTTGTTTTAACTCTGTTCTCTAAACTAGCTACAAGTGTTGCTTTGATGGGCAGGATATGATATTCTTCTCGTTGAATCATTATATAATTTATCTTCTTTTGATTTGGTTGCTTTGACAGATCAAAAGTTGACATGCCAGGTTCATGAAATTGTTGGACGCATTAATGGAAGATTCGGAACTCTTACAGCTGTCCCAATACATCATTTGGTTTGTACATTTACCTTAATCACTTGAATTCCCCTGAATGGAATTGCTGAAATATATAGATGAAGCTGTAACTTTTTTTTCCTCAAATGGTTATAATGATCTAACTAATATAATCATCATGATTTTGTTATTTTTATTGCCTTGGCAATAAACTCACTCACACACCCACTTTGCCCCTAAGGGGACTTGAACCGCCGACCTTCTACTTTGGAAGGTGAAGAAGTACCACTAGGCTACAGCCCTATGAATTTCACCTTAGATGATATATTGGCGGGCCTGTCTCAGTCTCGATCCTAGACAAGTCCAAGGTGACTATGGCCGATATATATGCATAGTTGATATTTGATGTTTGCCTTTTATTATGATGAATGAGATTTGTTCATTCTGATCATGGATTAATTTTTTTACTATAAATGTAATAAGGTGTACAACTAGTTATGTCATGTAAGATTGTTAATGTTTAAAGTAAAAATGTTGAATTGGGGATCTCTTAAAAAGGATGTATATATAAAACTAAAATATATTGAATCAACTTTGGAAATACTAGTATTAAGGCCGAATTCTTAAACTTCCTATCGCTGATTTTGCATTGCTTCAACTTTTGAACTTGTTAAGTGTTTTAGTTTTATTCCCTGCCCTTGAAGTGATAGCTGATAGGCACTTGATTCTTCATATACTTTTTCACTTAATTATGAAAACCTTATTACAAAAAGTTCTCTATTATTTTTTGATCTCTGTTATTCTTTTTTGTGTATAAATACTTTCTTCCCGGTAGGTACTTCTTGCTCAGCAATCCTATTTAATGTTCAGATGCCGATTTATCTATTTGTTTTCCTGTCTGAATTGGTTTATGAGATCGGACATCCTTATAAAAAAACGTAGTGGAAGATACACAAATTTTGTTCCTTTAATTCTTTGGGATATTGCACTAAGGATAATTTATGCTTTTAATTATTTACATGCATACCGCCTTATAAGTCTCCAGCATATATTTCTTTATTAATATTCTACTTTTCAACTATTGTTGCTGACTAGTACTGTGAAAATTTCTAAAGAATTTTCTTCTTTATTTACAGGACCGGTCTCTTGACTTTCATGCACTATGTGCACTCTATGCTGTGACTGGTACTTATTTTTGTGCCATAACCCCCCAAATATTAATCATTGTTGTCTATAATGACCTAAAGACTGTCCAGGCATACTTGAGGAAACAAAAAAAAGACTGTCTAGGCATTGTTGATTTTGAGGGAACAAGCAGTAGGCCTCCTACCTCCAAACTAAAATGTAAAATGGATTTGAATTGCAAAGAGAATAAATTACATTGGGGAATAACATTAAGTGATTAGAAATATTCTGTTAACAAAATATTCTCAATTAGAATAAGAACTTCTGCTATTCAAAACTTTTATCTTCAAGAATCAAACCACTTCTATTACCTAAAGCAATCTAGTATTGTTTAGATCCTATATTTTCCAAACGGAAAAATTAAGATAAGCAATATTAAATGCTCAAATGCATATATTAAAGTTCCCATCACACTCTGTTTTACCAGTAGTGAGAATCTGTTTTCTCCTGTTTCCAAATTTTTAACGGGCATTGTTTAAATAATGCCTGTTGCAGGATGTAATGACTGCTATGTAATGTTGATTGTTTGTGTGTGTGTTGGGAGGTGGGGGGAGGGGTGGTAAAGTTCCCATCACAGTCTGTTTTACTAGTAGTGAGAATCTGTTTCAAGGCGGTTAAGGGGCCATAACAAGTAACAACCAGTTTCAGCAGTGAAATTTTTTTTTTCTTTTTTTCTTTTTATTTATTTATTTATTTTTTATATTTTATTTTATTTAAATTTTATTCTTTCAAATTTATGATTTGTTTTCATTACTACGACTCACAAATGCGTAGATTTAACTTCCGAGGCTTCTAAAATGTAATATCTTAGCTTAAATCTTGATCTATAAATTCACAAGAGTTCATCCTATTAATAAGTTAATTTTTTAATTAATCAATTTCTCATTTTTCACTTGTTTTGGGTTAAATCTCGCATCAAATTATTGGTTGATGTTAAATTTATAAATGGTGGATCTTGTTTCAGATCTTCCAATCTTTTACTGATCAGTTTTGAATTTTTTGATGGGTTAGATTTTTTTATATTATTCCATAATTATACATTTTATATGTAAGTGACATTGATACCAGAATATTGTTTTAATGTGCTTTATTGAATAATGTACATAAACATGTTTAATTGTGGTCATAAAATTAATAAAATTTAAAAATTTAGTACACTTTTATTGCCTGTTGTACTTTAAAATTTATTGACTACCTTTTACTGATATTAAATCATCTTTAAAATTCAACAAAATTCATCAAAAAAATTATAAATTTATGGGAGTCTGAATCTAAAAGATTCGTACTGGTACAATTTGGTGAGAGTTGGGTGAGGTTGAAAAAAATATAGCTCTGATGGCCAGTATCATTTTTGTTACCCTAGTTATACCCCGTGTCCGTTACACTAGGACCACTACCATTACTTAAAACATTACTAATGGAAAGATGAAATCTAATATGGTTTAGGTAATACTTCAACAAAGGTAGAAACAAAGCAAATGCAATTCTCCATATTTTATTTTTTCCGCAAATTATTTTAAAGGGTAAGGCAATATCTAATATGTTTTCAGTTCTACCCTTATTAAAGGTAAAATACAGTCAGTACTACTATCTATATTAATCTTTCTCCTTTTCGATTAGCTAACCAATAGGACCAAATCTAATATGGGTTTTGCTGCTTCAATGCTACGGGTAAACAAGAAGCAAAAGTTATTATGTAATTCCATATTCAAATTTCTCCTTTTCAATTACATAAAAGAGATGACCTAATCTAATATCATCATGATATAGGAAGAGAGAAAAAGAGAGAAGAATGGGGGATAAGTGAGACCAGAACAGAACAGTGAGAAAAATCATAAAGAGAAAGGAGAATGTAATTTATTTCGTTCTCCAAAAATAATGTCAAATCCATTTGCAAAAAGCCTTACTATATGTGGTCATGCTACTATAACAAATATGAACGTTGCAAAAGCGAGAAGAAGACAATTGTGAACAAGCTGTTTAATCTTCTTCTTGTGGCAGCATACATTGAAATTTTGTTTGGAAGGTTTGCAAGCAAGAAATGACTTGAACTTACCTAGAAAATACACGCAAGAACTTCTACTATTTTTGCATTCTGGAGTAATATTATTTTGGAAAGTTATAAATAAATTAGCAATTGTAATTTGTGTTGTCCTTCTTGTTCATCAGTTTGTAGTTGTTTCATATGATATTTCTGTTGCAAGTAATTTTTTATTTTTATTCCAGAAATGGTTTTCTTAAATACTTCACTATTGCTTGCAATTAATCATTAATGATTATCATGCCGCCTATCAAAGAAGAAAAAAGAAAATGTCTTATAAGTTTAAATGCGTCCAGGACCATGTATGACCTTGTAGCACGACTTATCCATTAGATGATCTGCCGTACGCCTATCCTAGCTGGCACCAGGTGATTGATTGAGTCTAGGCCTATAACTAGGATACTTGGATGCAGGTGTTGTGCCATGAATCAGGAATGACCCTGAGATAAACATCGTATGCAAGTGTTTGCTTATCCATGATACAGAAGCAACAACTTTATAGCGGGTTCTTTGGAAGGAATGCACTACACACATATTCTTTCACAAATAACAAATATATAGATATATAATGGTTGCATTCTAGTAAGTGTTTAAACTTATGTCGGTAATTCGCTTGTCAACAATCATGCTTCATGTCCTTTGACTGGTTTCCAATAGGCTATCCATCAGTAGGGAGCTCTGTCCTACATATCATACTTATCTGGTTATTTTATCAAAGGCTTTTTTTTTTTTTTTTTTTTTTTTTTTTTTTTTTTTTTGAGGATTTATTTTGATGAATTGTATATATTTTTCTTATCTTGTTTAGATGTAGCACTTGTTACATCATTAAGGGATGGGATGAATCTTGTCAGCTATGAATTTGTGGCCTGTCAAGCTTCAAAAAAAGGGGTTCTCATTCTAAGTGAGGTGACTATAATTTACACTCGTCTTTGAGCTAACATATGTTTCTATTATTTCTAGGTAATACAAAAACGCCAATTATTGTTAAATTGCAATCATTATAAAAGAAAAAAGGTGTTATGATTAACTGAATAATACCTTTTCTCTGGTTAAATTATAATACTGAAAAAATATAATGTATAAAAGATGGAGTCATGAACAGACTCTTGACCCGTCTGTCATACTGAACAGGTGCATGCCAATTTGTTTTATGTTTTTCCAATTATAACCGATATATCTAATGCAACAGAAATTCAGCAAGATGAGAACATGCATTAAGTTTATTATCTTGCTTTGTCCACTTATATTTATGAGTATCCATTGCATGATATTTTTATGGCATTGAGTGTAGTCATAATTTCATTTGGTGTTGCAAGTTGCAACAGGTAGAGTACCCACTCTCCTTTCTGAATTCCCCCAAATATTTTCCTTCATATATGCTCCGCCTATATCTAATAAGTTCTGTATCAGATACTCAGTTGTACCTAAAAATTTCTACAAATTTAACAATTAATAGCAATATGAAGTTAAAATTTCTCTCTTTCTATGTGTTTCCTTGTGACTTCTTTATAAAAACATTGTTAAAAATTTATCATATCAGATTCTAGATTTTGCGATTTCTGTGAGCCATCTGCTCAAGTAATTGTTGGTCAAATACTCTCATGCCAGATAGAATTGCTATTCAGAAGACTAAACTCTGTTTATGCCTTAATTTTTAAATGTAATATTATAGACTCCGATTACTTACTCTCCTATGATAGTGTTTGTTTATTTCGTGGTTTCATCATGAACATTGTTCAAGAGAACTTTCAATTGCTTGAACACTAGGTTCCCTACATCTTTCCTTCCTTGAACTGGATGACATCATTCACATCTTTCCTTCTTTTTTTTTTAAGCATGTATTCACATCTTTCCTTCTTTGAGGAGGATTTTTCCTTTCCTAAATATATATTTCTATTATTGAAGTCATTTTTAACTAATATTGTTCTGCTTGGTCTATGGGACCTACATAATTTTTATTCATGGTTTCTGGGTTTTTTGGGTGATTGGGTTGCATAGTTGGCATGATTTGTGTGAGATTCATGGATTTGCTCTGAGCTCCAGTCTTAATTTGATTTTGTCCCACAGTGATATGGCTACAACCATTTCTCTTTATAATGTTCACTTTCTTTCCTGAGTCTTGTTTGTTCTTTTAAAATTGCTCTGGTTGAGTTGTTTGAGAAACTCTGACCATGATAATGTTCGTTGATAACCATCAACGGAGAGTTGAGAGTTCCATATCATAATAATGGATCATGTGGTGTTTAGGGATTTTTTATTTTATTTTTTATTTTTTATTTTCCTGTGGTAGAATAATGTAGTTTTTAAAAAATGCTTTTATCTCTCAGTATCCAAAAACAATTTTCAGAAAATTGTCAACCAAATGAATTTCTGTACCATTTTTTTTCAGTTCTCTGAGAATAAAAAACTTAACCAAATAGGCCCTTGGTAGTTGTCTAAAAGAAATGCTCCACAATTATCCATAATAACACGCATATTTAGTTCATTATTTGAATCCTTACTCTCTCTCTCCCTCTCTTCTTTTTCTTCTTCTAGTTTGCAGGTGCCGCACAGTCTCTTGGTGCTGGGGCAATTTTGGTAAACCCTTGGAACATTACAGAAGTTGCTGCTTCAATTGGTTATGCTTTAAATATGCCAGCTGATGAAAGAGAAAAAAGGCACCACCATAACTTCACGCATGTGACCAATCATACATCCCAAGAATGGGCTCAAACCTTTGTAAGGTATATATCATATTGGGTGCTTTTAAAGCTTGGTCATTGTTATGTTGTACTTATATATGGAAGCTTAAACTAGTGAAAAAAACGAGTGGGAAAAGAAGCCTTCTCTTAAATGGACTTTGTTGTAAAATTATATTTTGACATATTTTCAAATTAAAAAGATATATGAGAAAGGGAACTAAAAAGTTGTTGGTGCTTTTTTCTTAGCCAACCTTTGTGATGGCCTCATATAATCTTAAGAGCATGTCATTTCTGAGAAATAGCCATGAATAGTTCCAATGCAATATATTAAGGTCTTCTCAATTTTATTTTTCAGTTTCCCAATATTCTCATTGCCTAATTATATATTGGCAATTTACTTGTTTCAGCATCATGCTCTTTTGGTTTTAATCTTTTTTCTCCCACTCATGTACTTCAAGCTATTATAAAGGTTTCTGAGTCACGGAGAGTGGTCATTTAAGTCATAAAATGAATATTTGAAAGTCCTAGCTTTATATTTGGATTTATTACCAAGGCCCAAACACTAGGCTTTAAACTGGGACTTAGCTGCACTTTCCACTCTCAGTAGCATACTATATATGGTAAGTATCATTCAAACTCAAGTTTTCCTTTTCCATTTTTAGTGCTCTGTTTTCTCAGACCACATATCATAGATGTGGAAAAGGAGAAACAGTGGCATGATTTTATATACTTTTAGTAGGAAGGGTGACATTGACATTGAGGTACTATTACATGAAATAGAATGTGAGAATTGTGTGTTATGACAGGATATTATAATTGAAATGATCGGAAGTGAACTTGAAGAAAGAAAAAAGAAAAAGAAAAATATGAGTGGCGGTCATTGTTGCTTGTCATTGACCTTTGAATTGTTATGCCAGTGAAGGTTATTTTGATCCCTTAACAGTTCCATTGAACTGATGTCACAATAGACATCGATTTCTTCACGAAATTATGCGTGAAAAAGTTATCCACATGTATGCAAGCATCTGATTTGCAAAATATTCTATACATCATAATCTTGACCCGGTTGCATTTAGACTTTTTTTTTTTGTGTGGGTGTTATTACCGAATTTATCCTGATTCCACAGTTTTCTTTTATGTAGTGAACTCAATGATACAATTGTTGAAGCTCATCTGAGGACTAGACAAATTCCACCTTCTCTTCCGGTCAAGGTTGCAATAGAACGGTATATGCAATCCAATAATCGACTACTCATATTGGTAACTCTTTTTTCCTCGTGTCAAATTCAAACTCTAGCCTACTAAACAATTTTAATGTTGTGAGTTTATTCATCAAACTTCCCTATCTGGCAATTATTAGAAAATGTCACCTACTGAGTAAGGCTTGATATTATTAGATGTATATATGTAATATAGTATTTATAGATTACCATGTTGGTGAATTACTATTTTAAGATTTTCCCCTTTGGTGATTTGTACTTATAAATGGACGTAGATGGTGTTGAGTGTTAGAAACAGAGTGTAGATGGTCCTAAGTAGTTGGGGTTAAGGCTTTCTGGGTTGACGTATCAAATAGTTTCTTACCTTATATTCTAGGGATACAATTATAACCCCTATACATATTGTTAAACGACATTAAAGTTAAACCCTCTCTAATAGCTTAAACTTTTGGAACAATTGGTGTTCCAACATGATGTTAAAGCCTTGAATTTACTTTTGCAATGGTATATCCCCATTCATATTTCCGTGTTTGACGTGCTAATTTACACTTGTTTGTTTGGTCAATCCTTAATAGTTTAAACTTTTAGACTAATTGGTTGTCTAACATGGTATCACTTTCTTGGTTCTGGTGGGTCTTGGGTTCAAGTATCCAAATGTGCTTTTGTTTCCCCATTTGGTGTTCAGTATTGACTTTTTTCTGGTGTTGGTTTGGCTTGTTTGACTCGGCATATGCAAAACGTGGTTGCACGTGAGGGAGGGTGTTAGAGCCTGATATTGTTGGGCCCATCCTTAACAGCTTTGGTTTTAGAGTAATTGTTTGTCTAACACATACTCTAGATATTTTTAAGTTGTGTTTTGTGAAGAAATTCCTACAAATATCAGGAAGCAGAGGTGCTTCCATCAGTCAGTAGTAAATGATATGTTTGATTTTGTGTGCTTCATCTATTGTCTGATTTCAATGGTGTTCGAAAATGTTTTTGCTTGATGATGGGTGGAGGAGGAAGCATAGGTAAGGGCTGCCACTTCCCTAAGCTAAGACCATGGAGATCCTATTATTTAATACATGTAATTTTTTTATTCTTGCTCAGCAAAATGAAAAATGTGTATTTTCTTGAAGCAAACCATTGACTTTCCTGATTGTGTCCCCCAAAACAGATTTCATGTGGCACTAAATGTAATATATATACACGCACAAGTCGAGGTAGTGAGAAACAGGGGTTCCTAATCTAGAAAACCAAGAAAGTGTTTCTCCTCGTCTCATTTTCAAGTATTTAAGTGCCAGAAAAAGGTAGGTGAAAGTTCATTCTAAGCAAATGTCGCCTTTGATGGCCTTCTTGGATTGGCTTTGCTATACTTAAAACAGATGTGTTGTACTTTCAAATTCTTTTATCTATTTAAGAAAAAATAGTCTCTTAAAATTACTCCTGATAAAAATGGGGGTAATTGGGCGACTTAGATTATGAATTCCCAAGTTTATTACTACATTCTTTTCCCCAAGGACCCCTTTCTCTTTGGCTTTCAGAATTGTAGTACAAACACCGAATCAAGGAGTACAGTAACAGGTTATTAGGGACAACTATATTCCTCAATCATGACGTCCTATTCTTCCATCTTATTTTTCACATTTTTAATAATCTTACTAATGTACTTACAAATGTTCTTATATAGTGAATCTAGTCTCCCCCGCCCCTTCCGTAAGATAATTTCATATTCTCTCGACCTTTTTTCCTTTTTTTGTTTTTTTGTTTTCAATTTTTAGTTTTTCCTGTTAGTGAAGCAAATCTAACCCTTCAACAGATCTTCAGTGAAGATAAACGTGTTTTGAAAAGATTAAGTACTTATCTGTTAATATGATTTAGTACACCTGCCAATTTTTTCTCTGCTTAAATGATGAGATTGGGGCTTGATGCAGAGAATTTTTCCAAAATTTTGTCTTGACTATCGTGAGTCCAGCCCTCTCGCTTGAGAATTTCTGGCTCCGCCCCTGCCTGATAAGGCTTTTCTTAACATACTGTGCATACTCATCTCCATTCTATGCAAGACTTAACCATTTCTGAAGAAGAATGTTTCTTGATACGGGGGGATGGGGTGCTAGGCAATGGTAGTATGTTCAATTTCAATTATTTTGCATTCCTTGTATAATTCTATAAATTGTAGTTTCCTTGTTATCATCTTCTGTCTAATAATCATTGCCCTTCCCCTCAACAGGGATTCAATGCAACATTAACTGAGCCTGTGGATGCTCCAGGAAGAAGGGGTGATCAGTTCAAAGAAATGGAGCTTAAATTACACCCAGATTTAAAAGAATCCTTAAAGAAGCTTTGTGATGACCCAAAGACAACGATTATTGTCCTCAGTGGAAGTGACAGAAGTATCCTGGATGAGGTAGAGTAGTTTTACTTTGATTTCCATTTTGTCCTTGATAATTTTACTTTTCGCTGACTGCTTCTACAGAACTTCGGTGGATACAACATGTGGTTGGCAGCAGAACATGGGATGTTCTTACGTCTTACAAAGGGAGAATGGATGACAACAATGCCAGAAAATTTACATATGGATTGGGTTGACAGTCTAAAGGTGCATTTTAACACTTAAATTGAAATCGTCTTATATATATGAAGTTCTCAACTCTCTAAAAGTTATGATGTTCATCATTTCAGCATGTTTTTGAGTATTTCACTGAAAGGACACCCCGATCTCATTTTGAGCTTCGTGAGACGTCACTTGTGTGGAATTATAAGTACGCAGGTGTTTAATCTTATATTTTAATCTCATTTTAGTCTATTTTTTAAGAATATTTATAACTATGCTTTATCTGCTGTTATTTATTTCTTTTTCTAATTCTCATGTTATTATATGAATACAATTGTAGATATTGAGTTTGGAAGGCTTCAAGCAAGGGACATGTTGCAGCATCTGTGGACAGGTCCAATCTCAAATGCATCAGTTGATGTTGTACAAGGTGGCCGATCAATTGAGGTCCGGGCAGTTGGTGTCACAAAGGTGCATGCACTTCATTTGTCCTGGAAAGCGTATCTGCCTGTTATGCAATGTATTAGATTTGCATGTTTAGCTTCCCTCTTTTTCATGCTCATACAGGGTGCAGCAATAGATCGTATTTTGGGAGAAATAGTTCATAACAAAGATATGAAGGCACCCATTGATTATGTCTTGTGTATTGGGCACTTTCTAGCAAAGGTGTGTGATCGTTTCAACTATTAATTAGCTTTCTTTTAATTAAGAATATATTAAGTTGTTCATGCTCTTGTTTAAATATATTTCACTGTTTGATATTCCATAGACTTAAATTTTTCAAAAAGTTTCAAAATTTTTTATAAGCTTTGGTTTGTGTAATTTTGAAAAGTACTTTTTTTCTCTTTGTAACACACACTATATAAGAAAAAGTAATGCTGTAAATGCCCATGTCAAAATTTGTTAACTTGAAGTGACAATGGTGCTTTCAACAGCAATTAGAACACTGATATTCATTTATATGTGAAATTAATAATTAAATTGATGGTCCACATAGATCATTGGTGTTATTTGTGAAGGCTGTTCTTCTTGACTTTTAGCATTTTTTGTAAGATACTATTCATTTCAGGTGGAATATCAAAATTTAATGTAGAATAAGTTGGAAGTGTATTAGTGTATCTCAATAGATTTCCAAGTGGTAAGTTTTACAAGCTTCAATAAACTAATGGTACGTTAACAAAATATCCACTGATATCTATATTTTGACTCTGAAACTACATGTATTTGGGATCTAACTGTAAACATTTCCAAACGTTGACATGGGTGAAAGTGAGCCTACTTTTCCGTGGGGTTAGAAGCAATCTTATATGACCCTGTTAAGCTAACATTGTCTCATTCGCTCACTCTCCTTTTTAGGAGTTGAGTAGATTTTGAAGAATTATTTTCGGCTGGGGTTGATGGTGTCCTCTCATGATCACTTGCTTAGTTTGGTAGGTGGTATGTCATCGTAGAATGGTTGGGATGCTAATCCAGCATCTAGGGGAACTTACACTTTCGAGAGCCATTGTTTGTGGGCTTCATAGTCCTCACATCAGATACATTATTGAAGATGAAACTAGGATTCACTTTTGGGAAGATTTATGTTGGAATAATTATTCCCTCAAGTTTATTTCCTTCATAAGTTCAAAATCTCCAACCTTCATTGGCCACTTAGCTTGAATTATTTAGTCCAATGGTCCTATCTAATTTACCTGGGACTTGGAGCCTCTATCTGTTTGAAGATCACGTTGCATTGTCGGTGTGAAGTTGCGGCGGTAAGGCCTCTATTGGATGCAATCCTTCTCCCTCAATATTGTTGAAGTACCATGGACTCAAAATTTGGGCTTTAGGAGATCACATATTGGCATGGTTCACAGACCCGGCTGACTTGGACTGGCTCAACCGAGTTATAACGAACTCAGTCAGGGTCGAGTCCGAGTTGGCCCAATAAATTTCTGTGGTAGGAGACTTGCATGTGACTCAGTGTTAGTCCAACTCCGCTGTCACTATGCTGACCTGGCCAGTTGGCTGTGCAACTTTAAATAGACCCAATGAACTAATTCCAACCTTTTCTCTCCCTAGCGGATTCCTCTCTCCCAAACTCAAGATATAACTTGGATTCTTCAGCAAACTTCAAAATACTTGAAATCTAAGGCTACCACTTGAATCAAACGCATCCAACGGAAGATTAATCAGTCAGTTTAAAAATTTTCTTTTGGTTTTAGTTTTTGTTCCTTCACCTAAATCCAACATGAAATTGTTGTCATGCTAGATCTATCTTGTTTTTTTTCTTTTTTTTTTTAGTGATTCTTAATGAATTCTGTTGAATTTATAACGATGATTAATTTTGCATTTTCATTTCAATTCATTGTTAGCAAAAAATGCTTACTAAAAAGTTGTTTATGTTTTGTTTTTTGTTTCTTTTCCACCCCAGTAAATCGACATGCTTACTAAGTTTTGCATTTCGCTATTTTTGTGACTGCAAATTCTCTTAAAAGTGAAAATACAGAAAAAAAGTTTCTAAACTATATTCAAATAACATTCTAGTCCTATTTGCAAAAATGATGTTGAAAGATGGTGCAATCCAGATGGCACATGACACAAAATCACTACCAGAAAGTGTTGTTGAGGATCATAGTACTGAGATGGAGACTTGTACTAGATGTTACTTCCTCTATTACCTCCAGCCTGTAGGAAATATATACGTGAAAGCTTCAAAAATGTTATGATTACATGGTTGCTTGAAGTAGTGAACTAGTGGGAAAAATCTAGGAAGAAAGGGATCAGGTGGCATTTTTTTTTTTTGTAATTTTGTGCTAATTGAGGATAATACTGAGAAGGCCCTGAGTATTCTGGTTGAAATTGAACTTGAGGAAGTCACAATTAATAATATTAACTTCGGAATAAATTCTAGACAATTCCAACTCAAAGTCGATCTTTTATTCTTATTTTCTTTCGAGTTATATCCTTTTGGTAATTTCCAGCACCACGTGACTACATAAAAACCTATATTCTCATTTTGTCAATTATTCTGTACTTAACAGATCTCATTATTGTCTTTTATGTAAAACTCTGTAGAAATGGGAAATTGATGAATTATTTGATATGGAATCTTTTATTGCAAAGTGATACACCAGAGAGAAATACTCATTTTGCATTTGGATTTACTGCTTCAGGATGAAGACATCTATACGTTTTTTGAACCCGAGCTTCCTTCTGAACCAGCAGCCGCCACAAGATCCCAAATAGCCAATCCTGCGAATACTACTGCTCTAAAACATATAATTGGGAAAAGTGTGTCCAAGGCATCTGGCAGTAAGGCCCGATTGCCCTCCTTGATTTCAGAGAAAAGAACAAATGATCATGGAAATGGGACTGGTTGGTGGCCTATGATGCATGATAAATTGTCACTGCATGAGGGTTCATCCATACTTGATCTCAAGGGTGACAATTACTTCTCTTGCGCTGTTGGAAGGAAGCGATCAAATGCTCGGTATCTTCTTGGATCATCAGCTGACGTTGTCACACTATTAAAGGAGCTGGCAGGGTTTCCATCATCGAGTTGATTAAACTTCACCTTTGTCTTCTGGAATACTTTCTTCCAATGGTGGAGAACATAGAGGTTCTAGAGGACATGATATTATGTTTGGTATGGCCCTTAGCAGCTCCATTTTACAGCTGGTAAATTTCAGCTTCTTCCTCCCAAGATGTAGATTTTTTCTTTTTCTCTTATTCTTTTTTGTGCCTCCTAGGTAGATGGTTACTGGTCCATATTATATAAAAATTTAGTTACAAGTAGTTTAAGCTGTCGCAAAGAACAAATTACCCAAAGGAAAACAGCAGGTGCTAAAGATCTATTATTTGCAAACTAGGTTTGGCAATCAAATTCCCTCGACCTTCCATGTTACTGTTTGTCAATCAAATATGTGTTTGTGTGTGTGTAGAGAGAGAGAGAGAGAGAGAGAGAGAGAGAGTATTTATGACATTCAGTAAATGTGCAAATAGTTCAAGAGATACACGAGGAAGAATGCTGTCAGTTTCAACTGGCCATTTGGGGAGGGTCAAATGTCCACAACCTTGTCTTTGCATGAGAGACTATTTTCATTTCAAACTTGCCAATGGAGTAACCTTACCCCATTACGCCAAAGCCCACCCTCAATCTTGATATACATGGAAAAAAATCCTCTCTAGTTATTCTCTTACTGGATTGGTCCAGTGTGAGCAGTTATTCTCTTACTGGATTGGTTTAGTGTGGGGGTAAAAATACTGACTTGACACTTGAGTTAAATTCCTATTTATCAAGTTTTCAATTTATACATACAAAGATTTGTATATATGGTAAAATAAAGTGTAAATTAGTAAATTTTTTATTTAACTTGCTAACTTGGCAATAACAAAGCTATGTTAGAAAGGTGGTGTTGATCACCATGTTCACTGTACGTCGTCCAGTGAGAGAGTAACGTTCAGTGAGAGAGTAACTGGAAATAATTTTTTTGGGTATATACATGTATGAAAATTTAGAAATGTTTGACATGACATCAGTTTGCTGTTGCTCTAATGGTAATTGGAGGTAATCTCTTGAATTGTTATCATTTTACAATTTTTCTTGAGCTTGGCATGCCTTTTATTTATAATGAGACTAGCTTCTTTCAATATCCAATCTCATTCAAGAGCAAGGATAGGATGTCCTTTGTTGCCAAGAGATGATGAGTACATGAAAAAGCAAGGAATTCAGATAGTTGAAAAGAGATACCAAGTGAAATGAGTTTTGAAATGATTGCGAGTTCTAAGTTCCCTAATTATGCCTTCGCTATTCTATACATACTAAATTTTAGTAAGTCATGAATTTAACTACAATGGATATGGATGTGACTTTCTTACGGGTGTATATTTGGGAACATACGAAAATAAAAAGTGTAGGGTTTGGGAGACAACATCTTTAGGTCAAAAGTCCATTCTCTTATTACTCACATAGATATGTGTGAGCTCCACAATTACGTGGGCATGTGTTGGCATCCCCATATTGTGGAACTCACGTGGCCATGTGCGGGCATTACCATTTTTTTTCAATTTGAAGGATAAGACTGAACAAACATGTCAATTTATAAGAAAACTTGAGTTTAATTTTTTTATTTTTTTGAAAGGCAAGTATATTAATAAGAACAAATGACAGACCCATTGTGGGCCGGGAAACAAAATAAGGCCAAAGCCCATTCTAATTTCAATAAGCCGAAGCTTAGCCCAAGTTAAGTGAACCCAAAGTTAAGTTCTAACTAACAGTTAGATCATAGATAAATAAGAGTAAATGTAGTACATATAAAACTTTATATATACTTCCCCCAACACACACACTGGCCGGGTCTTAGCAAGTCTGAGAATACCCAAAATAGTTCCTATCAGCATAAATATGATTTTTTTTTTTTAGCACAAAATTACAAAAAAAAAAAAAAAATAGTGAACAAACAGATATGGCATCATGCATGCTGCTTCAAAAGGTAATCCGGTGGAGGAATAAAAGCTTATACAAGTGAAATAGTGAAATTTGTGCTGGTTCTAAGGGAAATTGGTGAGGGCATGGAAGTGGCAATTGCAGAGAATGGATGGCTGGCTAATCATGGTGTTACTTCCAAAGGAAAAAATGCAATTAAAATTCCTCAAGCAATAACAAAGAAATAGACAGTAGTAGTTAATCAAAAGATTGCAATTAAAATTAAGTGACAATAATTGTAATTGTTTATACATAGTATGCGGCAGGATTAGAGAACACAACCTCCTCTGTTAATATGGGAAAACTTAGGAGGAGGAGAGCACAAAACAAGAAGTGAGGTACAATTCACTGACGAGGCCGCTGATGTTGAGAGGGCAGAATGTGGAACTAAGAGTGGTTAGACGACTGAAATCATCAGAAACTTCAACTACACACGGCCACATTTTGTTCATCTGGAACAGAAATCTCTTCCTTTGTCTGGATGACACAGAATCTTTTCCCCATCCCCATATATGCAAAGCAGAATGAAGATTCACAGTCGTCCCACCCCACTGGTGGGGATGTTAACTCTGGATATCCAAGAACCAGAGGAGTAGATATAGCAAATAGAGCCTCCTCCTCCTCATCCTCAGGCCATTCGACCGGGTACGCAACCAACCCGCATTCTGTATAAGAATAAATCACACCCTCAACAAACTCAGCCTTTCCTGAGAAGGGGTAGTCTTTTGTGTCTTCTGACACCACCAACTTCTCCCACTTGTTACTTGTTTGTGAAGAATTCGTAGAACCAGAGAATTTCCAGTAGACAAATTCGTTACCGGCACAACCACCATTCCCATTTGCAACCGAAATAACCAGAAAATTGTTAACCACCGCATAACCTTCCACCAACATAGACCTCTGCAACTGATACTAAGGAGGTAATTGTAATTGAAATTGTAACAAAGCAGAATTGAATGAACCAGATTCCCATTCCAGCGTTTTACAGTTAAAGCACTCAAGTGTTGGTTGTGGGACCTTCAGTGACGTCAACATACGTTGCCCATAAACATAAAGTTTACCACCAGCTGCCATGGCTGAAGGGAATGGCTGTGCTGCAAGCGGTGATGATGAATCCACCGGCAACCCGGTGAGTTGTGAGTTTGAGTATTGAATATATGAACCGGAGCCTAGGAGGAGCCTTTCACGCGGCCCTTCCCCAGCCCAGAATAGGTACAAAACTACAAACTAAATATATATTATGATCCACCATGTCGCAAGCCACGTTTGAAAGACATGGAGGAGGAGATTCAAAATCAAGGTACGTCTTCCAATCAAACACATCAACTACTCGATCTTTAGCCTTGGTGTGATCCCCAATTACTTCTCCGTTCCTCCCGATTTCACTTGGCCAACGAGGTACACTACTGACCTTACATCCTCCTCCTCAACCACCACCGGCACTGGCGGTGCCTCCGTCGTCGTTAATTTGATATTCTTCCTCCCTGATGTGACTTCCATCACGATGGAGAGAACTTAGAGATTTGTTAACACAGCAAAAACAAAAAGGAAGAAACGGATTGAGTGATAAATAGAGGGATCGATCTGACGAACAAAGCAAAAGAAACCCCCAATTAAATATACAAGACACGTGAAACCCTAATGATAATATATATAGGAGAGGAAGCCCGTGTGGAATTTGATTAGAATTAGGAATGAAGAGGATATAGATAGGATTATTATATGGAATTACAAAATTCATACTACTTTTTACTCTACGTGGTCCCGTAACACTATTTTTAGTTTTTAAATGAATTTTTTTGGCAAACAACACAAATAGACACAATCAAGTTAAGCACGATGGAGTATATCAAATGGAATATGAGATAGGAGAACGTCCTCGTAGAGATGACTTCGAGAGAGTTTAGCAATCATATGGGTCACCTCGTTGCTATGTCGACGCACATGGCTAAGCCGAAACGAGGGAACTCTCTGAAGTGCACACTGTATGTCATAAATAACAGCCGTCATATCCACTAAACAAGCACCATCATCCAACATTGCCTTACAAACAATCAAGGAGTCCGTCTCAAATCAACAGTGATAAAACGAAAAATGATGAGCCCGCAACAGAGCTTTACGAAGGCACACAGCTTCAGCCAAAGAAACATTCTGAGCTTTGAAAGAGCAAAACACAACTGCATACAGAATGGAACCATGAGCATCCCGAAACACAACTCCACCACCACCCTGAAGGGAATCAGAAGAGAAAGAAGTATCCACATTACATTTGATCTCACCAACAGTAGGGAGGGTCTAGCCAGAGTTGGAGGGAAGAGAAGTGATAGACTCTGTGACAGAAACGAAAGAGGGAGGAAAGCTAGACTCCGAAGCATCCAAAAATTCCCAATAAAGAGAGCAGGAGGAATTTACAATCCGAACATCAGACCAGCATTCATAATCAAAAATTTGGAAAGCTTGAAATTTTTAAATGATTCATTTTCCAATAGATTCATCTTTTTGTGAAATAAGAAGCTTCATTGCATGGAGTTGCATGCATGCATGCAACTAGAAATGAGTAAATTATTATTTTTTCTATTAAAAAATGTTATTGCTATTGGTTGCTATTAAAAAATATTTATAGTCTTTGATCAATTATGTACCAATTCCTTGTTGGATGTCTACAAGGAATTTCCATGTCAACCACGTACTGAGAACTCTAAATTAGCGGCATAAGAAGCCACAACTTCCTTCTCATATCTTTTTACTCCTCAAGTCTTCGGACTTTCAAAACGGAAAAGAAAACTATCTCCCATTAGCAAAGAATTTGAGTCAAACTCTAATTACACATCCAAGTTTAATTTTCTATATAAACGGTATAATTATGAAGTAAAGAGCAAATTGGCAAACCAGTCTCAGCTGCATCTTCTCTCAGTAAAGAATTCTAAAGAAGAAGCAAAAGCTTCTCTTATTTACAGTTACAAGAACATCGTTAATGGCTTCTCAGCATTGCTCACCCCAGATGAAGCTGACAAGTAGTTATAAGGTATATACTATGCTTACATAGTTACATATATGTGTGTATATGTGTGTGTGAAGTTGTGGTTAGAATTTTGTTGAGGATTAATTCTTTTTATTTATTTATTTAATTATAAAACAAAAAGTACACCAAGACTCCAATTTCTCCTTTGAGAAGGGAAAACTAATGCCATCTAGGCTAGAAACTATTAGCAGTTATTTCCGTTACTTCTTTGTATGGTAAAATCTCTTCGTTTTAATAGACATAGATGGAGGACATATGCCCCCACGGGAATCTTTTTAAATTTCATTATATACCTATATTTTTATTAATATTTTAAAACTGCCCCCAACTAAATTATTTATAATACTCTAACATATATACT